GCATGCATCTGATTGGATGACGACCTGATGACGACTCACTTTAAACTTGCCGAGCATGCGCAGTTGATCATTTTTCGCCCGGTCGTCTGAAAAAAAAGTGGGTACATGAAAACGTAATCTTCCGCAGTGTTTACGACGGTCAGTTACGCCTCTGTATGTCTCTACTCTGTGCCAGAAGCCTCACTCAGCCAAAATTATGTCCGAGATTTTTTATGCGCAAGCGCGAGCCAGCAAGTGTAATCCACGCCATCAAACGCGAGCAATTACGCCATCAATTGCCATTACCAGGTAATAAAGATTGCTGTTTTAACCGTTTTGCTGACGAACGCTGACGTGATGTTCGCAGCAAGTGTCACACACGTCATCTAGCGTGCGAAATTCGTGATCCGCAAGGCGAAAATCGCGGACACGAAAATGTTAAGGAAAGGTGTACAGTGAGACTTCTGGTCGATTATATATTCTATGCTAGTGTACCCACTTTTTTTGTGCGCATGCTCGGCAAGTTACTAGACGCATGCATCTGATTGGATGACGACCTGATGACGACTCACTTTAAACTTGCTGAGCACGCGCAGTTGATCATTTTTCGCCCGGTCGCCTGAAAAAAAGTGGGTACATGATAACGTAATCTTCCGCAGTGTTTACAACGGTCAGTTACGTCTCTGTATGTCTTATCTACTCTGTGTCGCAGGGCAATAAAAATTGCGTATTGCCCGTGGGCAATCCTGCCCCGTCAGCAGCCAATCAAATTGCGCGATTCACCAAAACAAATGCTTGCCATATAATAAACTTATATACTGCATGCATTATTATATTCATACATTTCACTTCAGTCTTAACAGCATTCTCTATCCAGGGGCGTAGCCAAGGGGGGGGGCAAGGAGGGGCGGTCGGCCCCCAATCGAAAAAAACATTCTCTTAAAAAGACTAAATCCGTAGAAAAATGGGGGGGTACACATTACATCCTCGAAGCTGAAACGGATTAAGTACGTCTCGACTGAGGAAAACGACGAAATACTGGAAGAACTTGATTTCTAAAATCTCGTTAAAACAGTTGTAGATATAGTTCCAAAAGGAATAGATTTAGTTTAGATTTACATGTATATGCATTATGATAACATGAATATTCTTCTCAGACTTATTCTGTATCATATATAAAAGCGAGTAGAAACTTAGAAATGTCTGGGAAAATTTATGTCTTCGACGTACTTTATAATCTTCGGGATTCTGCAAGATTTCACCCCCAAAATGCTTGAAATCACATTTCAGGGACCTCCATAGATGGACTCGCGCCTTCGGCGTTCGCTTCTCCCCCCGCCCCCCCCCCCAAAAAAAAAATGAAGGCCTGGCTACGCCACTGTCTCTATCCCTCTATATAACTATGATTTGCGTTTTGCGACAAACATTATTTGGAACCCCAAAAGGTGTAGCAATTTGACGTACTGTACAGCTATAAACTAGTAAACACGGGGAAGTGCATCACTAATTAAACCGCATAAAGGCGGCTATTGTTTTATTATATCTTAAATTCAACGACGATAAAACCAACCCATATATACAGTATATCGATTATCTGTCATACTATTCAGACTATTTCATATAAAATGTACATCTTGTGTTGGCGCGGGTTAGATTCGAATAATAGAAACAAATAATTATATAAAAAATTGCCCATTCGGCTATTCCTTGCTGGCAGAGGTCTCTATTTGTGCTGGGAAGCGGAGGAGAAGACACTCTGCCTAGATCTGACACGTTTACAAATATATAGAGACCTCTGCCAGCAGGGAAATTCGGCTAACGCTTGTTTACAACTTTTGAAATTTCACATGTAGTTTATATATATACATTTGTTCAATTAGTAAACGAAGGAATCAAATAAAACAAAGCATTACAACAATTACACTATTTTATTGACGTTAAGCGATGTACTGTTTTTGACGATATACAAAATTCTCAGATAATTCTACAAAGTATATGCAATGCTTTTCATAGTTAGTTCATACCTTCGCGGTAAATTATCTCAACTCTCAAGTTTTGAACTGGGTACTGAAACAAGCGTTATCCGTTTATCAAATGTGTCCGTCAAACGCCGCAAATCCTTAAGACGTTGACATGCAGTATACTGTATATAAAAATCTATATAAAGCGTCTCTAATCTCTATTTTTATATTGATAGCAAATGTCTCCTGTCATACCCCACCCTAGTGACATACTTCCACGTGGCACCCAAAATCTGGGTGCCACGTGACCAGCCTGTGTCAGGGTATTCGCTGCAGCGGGTTTGGGGGGATAGCGGAAGTGAAAACCCTGAGTATCAAGTTGAACGGCGCCCCCGTTGGCTCGGGGACAAAAAATGTACGAAACGTTTGCTTATTTGCCGAGAAATCTTGTGGGACGATACGGGATGCAAAATGCGGTTTGAGGAGCGAATCTGATTGGTCGAAAAAATAAACAAACTGACGTGTGCTTTCTCAAATCCGGGGGGGGGGGAGAGTTGAAAGTTTAAGACAAGTTTAAAGAAAGTGCGAAAACACGAAAAAGACAAATATTGTGAAGAAGAAAAGTGCGAAGACTATCACTTTACGGGTGCGTATAAAACTTTGAAACGTTTTACACATAATTAGAATACAAACTATAAATTTCATCTTGCATTTATACTTCTTCATGATCATGTACAGTTCGGGTGGAAAAACTTCCCATAGTATGCAAAGAGTACCAATAAAAAGACATTTCAAGCCAACGTTAACTCGTTTCTTTGGTAAGTTAGTAATTTTTTTTATATCGTGAACTATATTTTGTAGCGCTTTAATATTTTAATATAAACGAGCCTAAAGAAAACGCTTGAACTCTATACTACGTCGCTTAACTACGAAAGCTGGCCAAAGGACGTTGAAAGGCACTGGTGATGGACATTTTAAATGAGGCGAATTTCGTATGTATGTGTACATCATTGAAATAGTTTCCTTCCTTCTCAATAACTACACAGAGTAGATACATATACAGAGTTATAACTAGTGTGCGCGTGCTCGGCAAGTTACTGGATGCATGCATCTGATTGGATGGCGGCTCGCTTTAAAACTTGCCGAGCACGGACAGTTGATCATTTTTTGCCCGGTCGCCTGAAAAAAAAGTGGGTACATGAAAACGTAAGCTTCCACAGTGTTTACAACGGTCAGTTACAGCTCTGTATGTACCTACTATGTGATAACTAAACGTATTCTTCGTATACGCGATTTATACTTACGTCACTGAATTCACAGCGCAAGATTGAAAACACTCAAAGCACGGTAATACAATGCAAATTTATTCAAAATTAGACAAATTTAACGCTTTTTATTTGTTACAACTATATATATTTATTGGGATTCCTATGGCTCGAGTAGAAGAGCTTATCGGCAAAAAGCAGTTCAATTCACATAATCACATTTAAAAACGTTTGAAGAGTTTCGAGTTGAATTTTACATTAAAATAGAGATTAGAGCCCATAGAAAGCAAAATAATATACCTACTTTATATATTTTTAGAAATTGATAGTTCTATATTTAAAAGTGTTAAAGTTTCATTTATTTTTTTGCAGTTTTGTACAAAAAATTAAAAAAAAACAATTATCGTGTTGCCATGACTAGCACGACGTGAGCAACGCGAGCCTGCGCTCAGTGTTGACGTAATTACGAATACTTCATGTTGAAGCAATGTTTGGAAAATATAGGCGAGGGGTTGTTGCATGCATCTATTTCTAGTATTACACAATACGATAATCCTTTTGGCTTTTTCATGCGTTTCGTTTCACTGTTTTTGGTCTTTGTGTTCCGAGTTATCTTGAACGGAATATCCACGGTGACTTACCCCGAGATTTTACATTTGGCATGAAGGTACACCAACGAGCGAATGACGTCAAAGTTCACTTTTTGCTTCGCAGTGCAATTTAACGTGATCTCGCGTATTTCAGGGGTAGAGGCTTGTAAAATCCATATATCTAGAAGAAATATATAACATCCTGATTTACTCCTAGCTCTATGTTTTAAAAAATTCTATCGTGTTATCAACATACTTTATTTTCTCATCATCCTTATATTAAATATTCATGAAACAATTTGGCCGCGTTGGTACGACCACCATAGAAGGCAGCGCGGGGTTCCAAAGGATCAACCTGTTCGTAATTGTCGAAGTAACTCTTCATGTCTTCATCTTGTTCCAGTTCTCGCTTTATTTCACATTCCGACACTTCGACAACGTTAAATCCCTGATCCTTGAGATAACCAGCCATTTCCACAGGGGCCTGATATAAATCGTGCATAGTTTTACTATTCACCGTATCCCGTGCATAACAGTTGAGACAACCTGCAAAACAACATATTTTAGAAGGCGATAGTTAAGAAGAAGTTGTTGTTGTCTAACGTGTGCATTTTTTGTCCGCCTGACAGCTCGCGAACGCGATATGAAAGTAGAACTACATTCAACTTTCTTGGCGTGCCCGCGCAACTGATTTTCTCACGTGATTAAAATTGGTCGCTCCACCCGAGCGGGTAGAGCGACTGCAATGGAAAATGGAGAGTTCGAGAATACCATTCACATCGATTCTGAGAGAAACGTCATCTACGATTACTCTGGTTAGAGGAACACTTTCTGCAATCCTGGACATAAATTATTGGCAAAAGGCTAAAAAATAAGAAAATTCATCGAATTTCACCCCCTTCCCCTAATATCAATGTTAATGGGTGTATTCGAAGCCAGATAACTTAACAAAACATTGATATTGGGGGAAGGGGGCATCATTGGGACAAACATGTCTTAAAATTATATTTTGAAATAATAAACTAGTTTTTGCCACTTTTTTTGTCCAGGATTGTAGATGTAGTGAGTCGCCTTCTACTTCTCATCGAGTCATCGGAACAGAAAGGAGAATTCTTTGACAGTTACGGACATGCATCAGAGTACTATAGGAAATCGTTTGGAGACTTTTTAGATAAACAGTCTTATGCATGGGATTTTAATAGACGTAAATTACAAAGCTGTGCTGAGTGGTTATATTACTACCTTAAAAAATAAGCAGAAACTCGACGTTTCGAGCGAAGGCCCTTGGCTACTAACTCTTGATGAAGGGCCTTCGCTGGAAACGTCGAGTTTCTGCTTATTTTTTAAGGTAGTAATATAACCACTCAGCACAGCATTTTCACATTGGTACTACCTACACTGGTACAGACAGTTTTAGTAAATTACAAAGTGCTTGGTCAGACGTATGTGGCCAGTATTGCATATTTTACCTTAATTAGCCATAAAGCAAAAGGTCAGAGCATGAGTAATATCGCACATTTATTTAACAATGATACGACGTTGAACGATACAAAAGTATCACAGTTTGTTAAGAGTCATTTTAAGGTATTGTTAAAACATTCCAATGTTAACCTCAATCAGTTCAGTAAAAGGTGTTTTCAATGAAGTTGTTGTAAGGAAGTGTGTTGTTTTTAATCTGCGCGTGCACACAAATTCACGTCCCACATGGGGGGTTAATTTACGTGTACTTTGAATTATCGTGAATAAAAATACTTTTCTGCCCCACGATGGTTCTTAAAGAACTGTCACCAATACATAATCAAACAAAAATTGCCTTAACATTTTATTAACACATGCAAACAGTTACAACATTTTAATAATTAAGCCAATTAATGTATTGATTTCGCCGTCTGTTTTCTTAGAAAGCTACGGTAATATTGCGCGGGACTTGTACGTGGTGATGTTGAGGGTGGTAGTCTCGGTGGTGGTGTCTTGAAAACAGTCCCTTCCGTGTCAGTTGGTTTGGTCACTTGAACCTCTTTCCGTGTTTCTCGCAATATCTTTAGGTACATTAAGCTTCGACAATCCACGAAAGAATTCCTTTGACCCTGTAGGATTAAAATTCTTACTTGCCCGCATCTCATCACTGACCAAATCAGCTATATTCGAATCAGTAATCTACCGTTCACATTAACTTGACCAAATTCGTCGAGGAAATAACGTCAGGTCTTCCTTTCAAATGTTTCAAAAGAGTTTGAGCTTTTGGGCGCAGGGTTGTAGGTAAATGTTCAATTACGTCCGCGTCAAATAAAGGTGCTTTCTCTTTGGGCGAACGGTAGGTATTTGACCGTCCTTTTGACGCCTCAAACTCAGATAACTTTCATGCGTTGTACAATTTCTGTTCTCAGCGTCGGGTATGTCCGTACTCTTAAGAATCTCTGACATCGCCGTATCCTGATGCATCATGTTGGACGTAATCGGGGAAGTCTCTTTTGTTTCTGCTCATAACGGTTAAGCAATTCTTCAGGAATCAACACCATGAGCGTCAATCCTGGGGGGATGGGGGGGGGAGGACGCGTCCCCCCAGTTTTTGGAGTGGGGGGGGCGAATATCTAATTATCTCCCCCCCCCCACTTTTTAACATCTTGGTTATCTAAAAACCTAATCCCTGGTATGCTATTCATCCAGACTTGTGGTTGGAACGAAGACATTTAATAAGATGAAGTACAACGTATGACCTTTCTGTAGCCGCTGGGAGCAAATACTGACATCCCATACACGCGTAAAAACGCTCAGGTTGTTGCAATACTGATGAAAACAGGATTGAACAATGCTTTGCTGCCCACATTGTTCATAGTTGTCAACCAGGGCCTTTTTTAACATACAAGCTGGGGGGGGGG